CTCCTCCTCCTCCTCCTCCTCCTCCTTCTCCACCCCCTCCTTACCCTCCTGCCTCCCCGGGCTGCCGCCGCTACCTAAGAGGGGGGCTGGCGCGATCTGGGGCGGCGGTGACAAAATACACGCAACCGTCGCAACGGCACCCCCCTTCGTCCTCCTCCTCCTCCTCCTCCTCCTCCTCCTCCTCCTCCTCCTCCTCCTCCTCCTCCTGCTCCTCCCCCTCCTCCCCCCCTCATCCCTCCCTCCCTCCCTCCCTCGGGCTGTCGGCGGCCGCTGGCGCCGCGTTGAGGCGCTGGCGCGGTCCATATTTTTCCCCCGAGCCGTTGCGGCAGCAGGCGACGCTCAAACAACGTGGGTTCGGGCTGCGCGCCCGCGAGGCTTAAGTCAGCTCCTCCTCCTCCTCCTCCTCCTCCTCCTCCTCCTCCTCCTCCGCCTCGTCCTCCTCCTCCAAATCTCCTCTCTTTTGCTGCTGCTGCTCCTCCTCCTCCTCCTCCCACCTCCTCCTCCTTCTCCTCCTCCTCCTCCTCCTCCTCCTCCTGCTGTTACTCCTCCCTCCTCCTCCCTTTTGCTGCTCCTCCTCCCCCTTTTGCTCCTCCTCCTCCTCCTCCTCCTCCTCCTCCTCGTCCTCGTCCTCCCCCTCCTCCTTCCCGTCCTCCCCCCCCTCGTCCCGCTCCTCACCCGCCGCCTCCTCCTCCGCATCCTCCTCCTCCTCCTCCTCGTGTTGAGGGGGGCCCTGAAGGCGCGCAACTCTCGCCGAGGGCGGGGCGGTCGGTCAGATGAGCAAGCCAGCCCATTTCCGAATGTGCTTGTCGGCCCGCGGGGAGCCGGCACCGCCCGACGGGTGCTCCAGAGCGGCAAGCCCGGCCCGTAGTTCGTGCTTCTGGCGGGCGACCCACTGCTGCCGATGCGCCTCAGCCAAGTGGAAGCCCGCCCTCTCCATTCGGTGGATGGTCCACGCGCGGAGCACCAACAAGGACACTGGTATGTCGCCCGTTGCCTTGTCCTCCCCGAAGTGGTGGCACGTGACGGTCTTGCTCAAGCTTTTGGTCCCCATGCCCGCCGCCCCCCGCCAGCGCGGATTGACCTTCACTTTCACGTCTGGCCACGCTGGGTTGTTGCTGATCGAGAAGTAGAGGCTCTTGTCCACTACGTATGTGCCCGGCGCGGCTCTGCCCATCGCGCGCGCAGGCGGGCCTTCCTCGGAGTCAGACGACGGCGGGGGCTCCTCCCCAGCTTCCTCCTCGTCTGTCGCCTCCTCTACGTCGTCCATGGCCTCCTGCTCCAGGCTGTCGGCGACGGACTGGAGGTCCGAATCTGGAATCGAGACATGGTCTTCGTCGTCCTCCGGCCCCGCTGGCTCTGCGCGCGCCTTAGGCGCGCGATCCAGGACGTCGTCGGCGACCTCGTAGCCGTGGTTAACTCCGAACACGACCCCGCTGGGCGTCACCTCGTCCACGTGGACCTCCAGGCGCACAAGGCGCAAGTCGTGGCTCTCCTTGACGCCGTTGGCCTGCAGAGCGTCCTGCACTGGAGCGGACAGCCGCTCCAACCCGTCGAGGTCGAGGCGTACCCTGCGCCTGGACACTGGCCTCAAAACGATTGCCCAGCAGGTGGACAGCAAGGAGCAGGCAAACACGAAAACCTTGCGCCCCTCTGCGCCCCGATGCCCGATGCTGTAGAACCCCGCCTCGGACAGCAAGAGCTTCCTGTGCCATGAGGCGCCCTCGGATCTGTCTGGCGCTGGCAACGGCTGCAATCGAGGAGCTGGGGGGAGGTCCCCGAGCGGAACGATCTTTGCGTTGAAGGACCTCCAGTCCGCCGTCGCAGTCCGCAGCCAGTCCTTCCACATCTCCTCGTTGCGGCCCATCCAAGCGGCCCACTCTGGCACGTCCCACGGCATGGGTTCGCTCACATCCTTCACTTTCGCAGCCTCGCGCATTGCTTTCGCCTCGGCCCTGAGCCGTCCCTCGTGCTCCGCCTGGTAGGCTCGCAAGGCCTCGGAATCACCCTGGTGAACTATCTCGCGCTGCTCGCCCTTGGTTCGCTGGGGGCACTGTCTCTTTTGACCGCGGGCTCGAGGGAACGAGGCGGGCATCTCCTTGACGGCGAGGGCCGTGCACGGCATGGTTTTTTTCCTGCAGGGCTCTCGGGGCGCAAATTGACTTCACCCAAGCCCGTGTTTCTGCGGGGGGGGGGTTCCGTTTCGCCGGCCCTGTCCTTCTTCGCTTTGCGTGCCCGCTTTGTTCTGGCTGCCAGCGCCCGTGCCCTCCGAACGCTGTATCGTTGGAAAATAGCGTTCCTGCTGCACCGCGCCACCGTTGTCATTTTGACCGTTTCGCCTTGTTTGGCCTGCTTGTGGCGGCGCTCGGCCTCCAAACTGTTCGTGGAGGCGGCGGCGAGGATCGCTCTCAGCTCCTCCTGGACCTCGGGTCGTCGCCTGCGCGGCGGCGAGCGGGCGAGTGCTCCGCCGGCCCCGGGCAAATCATCCAGAACCTGTCGAGGGCGGGGCCGCTAGGGCCGCAAACAAAAAACTGCATGCGAAAAGCATGCGCATCCAAAACAGGCCCGTCTTCAAAACCCGTTGGAGCATGAACGCCATGGCGCCGGCGATAGACCTCTCGCGCAGCGCGCGCCGCCGCAGCGGCACGCTGTAGCCAACGTCGAGCTCGCTCTCGTCGCACGTGAGGAAGTGCGCGATAGCATCCGAGTACCTGCCGCCGCGCGCGGGGCCCGCGCAAACGTTGCAGGCCCGGCCCTTGCAGGCCAAAGAAGCTGCCCCTCCCCCGCCCAGAGCTGCCCCAGGAGAAAAAAAACGAAAGCGTCGCAATGCTGGCTTTCCTCGGCGGCGCGGGGGGGGGTGCTCGAATACGCCTTCCCCAAGCCCTGGGCACTCCTGGCGGTTGTAGAGAGGCGTGAGGGCCCACAGGCGGGCCGGGTACTGGGAATATTGGTGAAAACGGGCTCTGATGTGCAACCACGTCGTGAGCAATGCGCAGGCGCAGTCCGTCTTGTCCAGGCAGGGATCCGCGTGCAGCGCCTGCAGCACGCTCCGCAGCTCCCAGGCCGTTCGACGCTGCACCACGCCCTTGCCCAGCTGGACGAGAACGGGCCCCTGGTCCTCGTCTTTCTCGGAGGGCGCCTTCCTGGCGGTAAGAGAGACGGCCGGGAGGCTCAGGCGCAGACAGAGGCACACCTTCCGCAGGTGCTTATCCTCGGCATCGTCGGTAAGGTATTTCAGTACGGCGTTGAGGCGCTTGGCGTTTTGCTTGCTCGGCTTGACCGACCCCGCGTGCAGGAGCTTGGCGGGTAGCTTCAGGAGCCGCCACCTCAAGAGCGCGAAGACGCACTCCCCAAACGTGGAGAAACCTCAGGGGGCAACAACACGCCCGCCATTTTTTATATAGAAAAAAAAAAAATGCGGGGCTGGGGAGGGGGCTCGGGCCACAAGGCCCGGCGGGCCCGCCCAGCCTCACTCACGCACGCCCAGTGGCAACATTGAGCGCCCCCCGGCATCGAGAACGCGTGACCGTCGGGCGGTCGTCCACCCGCAGCAGCGTGCGGGAGAGGATGTTGCACGCGCGCTCGTGGGCGGCGCGCTCGTCCGCCCCGACGCCGCTGTGCTTGAAGACCTGCAGCCCCGAGTCGAAAAAACGGACGAGGTCGTCGGGCAGCGCCTGCTTGCCGTAGAGGGCCTGAAGAGCTGCGCTACGCGGGTGCGGCGCTGGGGGGGCCGCGCGCGGAACCACTTCGAGATCATCCGCGATGTGGTGGCGCAGGTTGCGGTGAAATTCCGCCTGGTAGTCTGGAACCACGTACTTAAACATGCGGGAGGCCGTGCCCAGCAACCTGTCCGTCTGCACCGGCCTCGGCATAATCTTGCCGCAGATGCCTGCCTGGACTGCCAGGTTGGCTGCGTGGGAGCTGCAGACGAACACCAGCATGTTGCACGGACACCGGGCGCGCCTCAGGAGATACCGAAACGCTCTCCTGCAAGCTGACCCGTTCGTGGCCACGCCGTCCCCCAGGAGGACGTGAATGACGCGAAAGCGCTTAGACGACTCCGCGCGCGCGCCAGGCGCGCAGCTGGTGTATAAAATGCGCGCGCGGGCCCCGCCCGCGCTCGGAACCGGCGGGCGCGGGCCACCTCGGTCCCACGACCGCTTTTTCGGCTGTCGGAGGGCCAGGGCCCCAGGAGAAGCGGCCGAGAGACCGCGTTGCGACAATTCCCCCCTGTTATTCTGCAGGGGGGCGGCGGCCGTGGGCGAAGCCCCGAATCGCGGCCCGACTGCAGAAGGGCTATGACGTCCAGAGCTCGGGCGATGAGGGTGGTCGCCACGGTCGGCGCATCCTTTCGCAGCATCGGCCCGAGCTCCGTGTAAACCTCGATCGAGGGGCCACTCGTCCCCACTTGCACGTCCAGCGCGTGGCCCTGGATCTTGCTGGACCTCGAGCGAACGACGCCCGACTCCAACCGATACTGGGCGTCTGGCTCCTCCGACACGGATTTCATCCGCATCGCTGCCTCGTCGTGCACGTGGTGCAGGATGGCAACGGGGTCGTGCGAACCAGCTGCTGCGCGCGTGATCTCTTCCTTGTTCAACCACTTCACCGCCTCCGCAAAAGCGCCCCTGCAGGCTGAAATGGTCGTTGTCCCTCGGGGCCGCGAGCTCGCGCAACCGCCCGGCCTGTTCCCATCGCGCCCGCGCTGTCCCGCTCCGCGCGAGAGCGGCTCCAACGAGAGCGCGGCGGGGACTGGATGGGAGCAGGAGTGAGCAGTTGCTCGAACGCGCGGAGCCTATCTGGTTGCTCTGCTCCGCCGAGAAATCCCGGCACCACGCGGCGACAGTCGCTGCTGGCACCGTCGGCTTTGCAACCGCGACTCTGGCAAACCAAAGGTTGTCAATCCTGTTGGCTGCTCGGGACGCCCTCTCCTTCTTCAAAACGCCCTCGACCTTGCGAACCTTCTGGCGCAGGCGCCCGACGAGGAAGCCGCGCTTGCGGGCACGGGCCGCAGTCCTCGGCAGCGGCTTGCGACCCCTGATCTCGGGGGCGTCCCACAGCCCGCTCAGGGCAGTCCGGAGGGACCGAATGCCGTCCACGACAGCGCCAGGGCGGCCATGGCTTGGCAAGCTTTGGAGAGCCCCAGCGAAAGCCTGCAAGTCGCTCGCCAGTTTCTGGGCCTGCTCGGCCAAAGTGCGACTCATGTCGGATTTGGGCCTGGGGCTGCTGCGGAAGGCTGCGCCCTATGTAGCAATAAGAATTTCCTGGCCTTCCTCTCGGGGAGTTCATTCCCATCCTCCTCCTCCTCCCCCCCCATCCTTCTCCTCCTCCTCCCCCCGCCGCGCTCCGCGCAGCCCCTGGATGACGAATGCGAGCGGGGAGGCGACGAGGAGGGAAGAGAGAAGGGGAAAGAGGACCGGCAAGGAGGGAGGCGACGACGAGGAAGGAGGGAGGCGACGAGGAGGGAGGAGGGAGGGAAGAAAGGGAGGCGACGAGGAGGAAGGAGAAGAGAGAGGCGGCGGGCGGGCGGAAGGAGTGCCCCTCGGGTGCCACTCGCAAGATCTGCCAGCCCTGCGACCGCGCAGGCGCGAGGACTCCCAGGCGGCGGGTGCGACCGGTCCGTTCATCCCACCAGCCCTCTTTGGCGTAGGTGGTTTAACAAAGTTTGCTCTCTCTCTCTCTCTCTCTCTCTCTCTCTCTCTTGGGGGAGGGGGAGGCGAGGTCCCCAGCACCCTGCCCCAACCTGCCGGGCGACCCCGGAGCAGGCGGCGGGGGCAGGTGCAAAACCACCTCGGGCAGGCCACCTGCGCCGACAGTCGCCTTGAGCGAAAATCAGCGCGGGCAAAGCGAAGCGGGCGCAAACTGAGCAGGAGAGGGAGGAGGAGGAGGAGGAGGAGGAGGAGGAGCGGCCAGCCAGGGGAAGGGGAGGGAGGGGCAAGGGACGGGGGCGGTCGGAAGGTGGCGGTCGTTGCGGGGGCCGTGGGGGTCGTAGTGGGTGGGGGCGGCAGCCGCGGTGGTGGCCGAAGTGGTCGTGGTGGTCGTGATGGTGGCCGTCGTCGCCGTGGCCGTCCGCAGTGGTCGCCGCAGTGGTCGTGGCGGTGGGCGAGCGTAGTGGTGGTGGTGGGCGTGGTTGTCGCAGTGGTCGCAGGGCAGCGGTCGTGGTAGTCGTCGTGGTGGTCGTAGTGGGCGTGAGGCGGGCGTGCTAATGGTCGCCGCGGTGGTGGCTGTGGTCGAGTCGGAGCCGGTGGGTTGCTCACGTCGCACTGAGCAGCATCTCAGCGTTGCCGAACGCGAGGCACCGCTGAATTTTTCTCCACGTGGTAGAGATCACAGCGGAACGGTCGGCATCCGGCAGGTCCCGGCCGTAGGAGCGCACGAAGGCGACCAGCTCGTCCGCCGGCCGGCCCCCAGTCTCCAAGACGGCCGGGATGAGTTCCCCTCCAGCCGGGGGGTAGCGCGCCCGCTTTCTGTCGACTGCCTGAGCCGCCGCCACCCCGTCCGTGCGAGCCCTGGCCTGCCTGCGAGCGTTGTTGTTGCTGTGTTCGCAGGTGACAGACCAGTCCACAAAGATTGGGGCGTTGGTAGCGGGGTCGCGCGTGGCCACGTCGAGAATAGCCTCCTCCCAAGCTCCGGTGTCAGGGTGCTGGCGGTCCCAAGCAGGGACTCGCTGCTCGGTCGTGGCCCTGTGGCCCGTCTGAGCGTAGTGCCAAGGCCCGCTCCAGTCGCGCAGGGAGTTGTGCCTGTAGTCCCTGCTGTCCCCGCACCCGCACTTCCGGGCGTGCCAGCCCTTGGCATCCAGCGCTTCCCCGCAAAGCGAGCCGTCCTGCTTCCGGTGTTGGCAGCGCGAGCCCGGGGCACACACGTCGCAGGAAAGACGCATGCGCAAGTTGGCCAGGAAGTGGTTGTCTGGGAGGGGCGCGTCGCCCTCCTCGCGAGGCAAGAGCCAGGCCCCCGCCCCTGGGCCTCCGGCGCCGCGCAGAGCGAGTTGGCCGTCCTCGTTTAGCGTCCGGAGCAGCCGCGCTCTTTTGGCGAAGGAAGTCCTCTTCCCCCAGTACCCCTGCTGTTTGGCCTTGGGCTCAGCCAGGAGAGCTGCCCAATCCAAGGGTTCGGCCTTCGCCTCCTGCCGGTCGAGCTCCGCTTCGGCGCGGCGCCAAGCGTCTGCCGTCTGGGGGCAGCGTGCCCGGACGGCCTCCGCCGAGGAGGCTCCGAGGCAGCCTGCCACGCCCCGAAAGCAGAGGGCCCAGCTTCCGAGGTAGGCGCGGGCGGCGGTCTCCCGGGCCGAGGGGAAGCCGTTGCCGCCGTCCTTGAGGCGGAGGGTGAGCCACTCCTTCTGCTCGTTGCTCAAGGGCCCAGTTAGCTCGGCGTAGGCCCCGAATAGCAAGTCGTCGAGCTCCCCCACCCAGGCGGTCTCGTAGTTCGCGCGCAGCAGGTGGGTGCAGCAGCCCTGGGCGTAGGTGCGGAGCAGCGTGTGCGCCCCTTCCGCCGAGAGCCCGTTCTGGCGCAGCGTTCTCCAGTGGGCCAGGAAGTGCCGCGTTTTGTCCAGGACCTCTCGGCCGTCGGAGCTGGCCAGAAGGGGCAGCCTGGCGTCGTCGTCGTCCTCGTCGCGGTCGTACCACGTGACCGGGTTCCCCAGGACGGTCAAGTTGGCGGCCCGGAGCGGCGCGAGCTGTGGAGGGATCGCAGTGGCCGGGCTGGCGGTCCATACCTTGGTCTTGTCCGCGTTGAGCTCCAAGCCGGCCCGGGCCATCTCTTCTCGCACGACGTCGTGTGCCTGGGCGGCGGCCTCCGCTGGCGCGACCACAAGCACGTCGTCGAGGTAGGAGAAAAGGCGGGAGACGGGGCTCAGCAGTTGCAGGCGCTCGCGGGCGCGGGCAAGGGCGTCGGCGATCCCAATGGCGAAGAACGCGGGGCTGAGCGGGCAGCCCTGGTCGACGCCTGTCTGGGCCGACACGGGCATGGGGGTGCCGAGGTCGTCCCAGAAAAGGTGCGTCGTCGGCCTCGTCAGCCAAGCGTTGGCGACCGGGAGGAGGCTCGGCGCCCGGCGGGCCACTGCGTCAAGCACCGTTTGCCGGGGCAGGGCATTGAAGGCATTAGTAGCATCAAAAGCCAGGGCGGCGGCCCCCGGCATCGCGTCGGCCAGAGCGGTGACGCATTTGTGGACCCGCTCGCAGCCCGCCCTCGTGCCGACCGCGAACTGGAGGGGACCGCAGGCGTCTTTCAGCTCCTCCTTGAAGACCTCGCAAGCCGCCTTCGCCGCCAGCCTGCGGAGGACGCTCCCGCATGCCACCGGCCGCAATTTCCCGTTTTTCTTCCGCAGCGCCACTAGCCGGGCCCCCAAGTTGGCCGTCGTGAAATCGGAGGGGAGGACGCCGAGGAGGAAGGCCACGGCCACCCGGCAGTTCGCCTCGAGCGCGGCGGAGTCGGCAAGGAGAGTCTTCCAGTGCTCGAAACGGGAGCCGTTGGGGCCTGGGCCAGACCTCCGCGGGGCTTGCTCGATGGCCTGGCGCACCGCGTGCAGGAGCTTTTCTGTGGTCTCGTCGTCGGGAAGCTGCGCTGCGGTTGGGGTGGCGCCCGCGCCCTGCGGGAAGAGGTTCTGGAGCTCGCCGTGAGCACTGGCGTCAGTGACCACCGCGGCCGAGCGAGTCACCAACGACATGGCCTTGGATACCAATCCCTCTCTCTCTCTCTCTCTCTCTCTCTCTCTCTCTCTCTCTCTTTCTACAACACCTCCTACCCATGCTCGGGGGGGCCTCCTCCTACCCCCTCCCCTGGGCCTGGGAGGGGGGGGCGGAGTGGCTAGAAGCGTCCAAAGTGGACCAAGATATCGCCAAAAGGGTCTCAGAGGCACCAAGATGGCCTCCAAGATGGCTCAACATAGCTCAAGATGGCTCACGATAGCCTCCGACATACCTCCAAGAGGCCTCAAGACGGTTTCAAATGCCCGCCGAGCCCTCCAAGGACCCGCCCCCAGAAAACAAAATGGTTCCCAAACTAATGGGAACTCAATGTTTTTGCCTTCGCGCTTTTTCGCTTCCGATGGGCTTTTGAGGCTTCAGCGCGGCCCCATGACGGCCCAAGGGAGCCCAAGAGAGCTACGGGATCGATTGCATACCTGCTCTGACCCCGAGCCGGAGCGCCCCCTGGGGCGGAGTGCTGCCGCTGCAACGCGCTTCCAGGCTTCAACGAACCGCCGCCAGCAAAGGAAACCTGGCGATCTGATGTTTTCGCCCCCCTCCTCCCCTGCGCCCCTCAAGGCCCCCCCGTTGTCGCCAACCTCCTCCTCCTCCGCCTCCTCCTCCTCCGCCTCCTCCTCCCCCTGCTCGCCCCCTGCAACCCCCCCCCCTGCCCCCCGATCCTCATCCGCGCCCGTCTCCCCCAATTTTCTTTTTGCAGCAGGAGGCGCGCAGAAATCAAGCGTGGGCTGAAAGCGCCAGCCGAGCGCCAACAACGCCCATGGCAAACGAAACAAACCAACAATGCGAGCTACGCCACTACTCGAGCAAGCAGCCCGGAACCGCAAGAGCGACTCAAAACAAAACATGCGCAGCGAAACGCCACAGGGAATCCCAAAGGACGAAAACAATCGCCAAGCAGCATTTACACGACTACTGCGCGACCGCCAAGCATTTCGATGCTCAACGTCCGCGACGCTAATCCAACCCTAATCCAACCTTAATCGGGGGGCGGACTGGAATTAGGTATGCGCACAAGGTCTCCGGGACCATCTACATAAACAAGTCATCATCCTCATCGGAGCTTATTAGCTCCACAGGGACGTCAGTGCTCCAGGTCGCCATAAGATCCTGTCCGAGTCCCGACAAGTCGTCACCGCAATCATCGTTTCCGTCTTCAACGTGCTTTTTGATGCGGCGAGGCTTGATGCCTGCTTCCTTTTCGGCTTTGAGCCTTTCCTTCTGTTTGATACGCGACTCCGTAGGTAAGACTTGCTCGTCTTGTTCACCGGTCTGTGTGCCCATCGTCGTTGTTGAGTGGGTACATGCTTCAATCGCCAGAGTCGGGAGGGGGAGAAGGACAGTCATCTATGATGACGCGTCTAGGTTTCTGTGGTGATTGAGTAGGCTCGTTTCCGAGCATGACCGGTTCCTCGGGTTGCCAGTACAACCGTGTGCTGATGTTGGCAACCCCTGTAGGTAGTGGTGCATGCCAATCATATCCTGTTGGTTGATCGGCTACTGCAATATCC